TGATTCCGAATAAGAAGGGCTGAAGTCGAATCCTATTACAAATTAGAATTTCTCATAGTGCGTTCAATCTTCATTCTTGCCAAATAATCAATATATAATATGTCTAGTACTAAATGTACAGGCATGAATTCCGAATGTAAATTGCCAAAAATTAAAGTTTTTTTTTCAATAAGAACTTAATTGAACTATTTAATTTTGATAACAATACCTACTTTTTACTGATGATACTATTTCTTATCTCTTAGAACATTATATCCGTGCCTTGTTCATTAATAAAGGGAATAAATTATCTACAGTAGAATGTATAGCTTAATATGAGAAAAAATTTATAGAGTCTTATTTTTTGAGTGTTCTTGCTTTATAATCCCCTCTTTCACTCAACTACTTCACAACATTCTACTAACTAACAAGTTTGCGTCCATACTTACATATACAACAGACTTGCACAAAATGTGAACTAATAAATGTGAGAAGGAGTTGAAATAATCGAATTGTTCATTTGATCAGGCCCGATTCTGACTTATTCGACACCTTTCGTGGTGTCCTAATAGTGCTCTTATTCGACTTGTATTTAAAAATAATTTCCACCATTTCTTAAGCGGGAAAATAAAAATTTTAAAATCGCCTCTAAAACTTACATATGTACATTCCTATTGAATATGAAAACATGAAAGTAAATCAAATAAATCCAACGAAGCATAAAAATCATTTCATTCGTTTATTTTTTCTTTTCTCGTACTCGTTCGTCTCATTTTATTTTATTTCTTCATTGTACCTACCTACCTACCTATCTAAATATTACACGTATAACCTTACCTATATACGAGTACCATATCACTACAAATACTGTAGTCAAGAATCATATACAAAAAATAACTGACATTCCTTTCAAGTAATTCGATTTGACTATTTTTACAGTTGTTATAAATATTATGTTGGGCATTCTATAAATTCTTTTTTCCATTCTTATTTCTGGAACTATAAATGCAAAGGTTTTAAAATCTTATTTTATTTTATCTCAATTTTTTTTTAATTTTTGATTATTTTATTATAAATCGCGTAGTTATATAAATGTTATTTCTGTTTTTTATTTTTGGTAGGTACCTTATATACCACCTATGTATTAAAAGATATATTATAAAGACAACATAAACAACACACGATTTACACGGGCAATTAAAGCGTTAAAAGAACATAAAATAGAATTAAGAAGTATAAGAGCAAAGTACGAATGGAAAAAAAAAATTAAGAATACGTTGAATATCAAGAGTAACAAGAAAATGTTGATATGCGCCGGAGACCGCCAATAGGTATTTTTTTTTAATATCAAAATGTCATGACGGGGCTCCACACGTTCAATATAGTTTTGGTTATAAAATGCTTACTATTATATTTTGGAGTTGCTAAATTTTCTAAAATAACACAGATTATTTTACTTAAAATACGAATATATTAAGAGATGGAGGTTTCTGGGCAACAGCTTCCTCGCAACAAAAATGCTGCAAACAATCAATTTCCATAAGATTCGGGACTAAATTTATCGAATTGCGACGCCAGTAAAAACGTATGAGTTTTTATTAAATAAATTGAAATTAATTTTAGGCTGGTAAAAACCCCTTCTCTTTTGTAGTCGTGAGAAATTTGCAACTCATATCTCTATCTACATTCTATTAATACTTAAAATTGGCGTTGTCATTTAATTCGTACCTCGCAGTTGGGAATACCTAGGAAATAATCAGTCTGTAGGGAATTTTTTCGAATTAGTACCAACATTTCAATTTTACTTATAATATTGATTATAGTTTTTAGTTTATAAAATTGGACAAGTCTGTTTCTCATTTATTATCTATTGAAATTCAGATCTCATTATCAATTTCAAGCTATACTTGATAAATCCTTTTTTTGCAACAAAATTATTTATTCAATACAATTTATTTCAACGACTGTAGAATTTTGCAGTTAAAGTTAATATTGTCCTAATTTAAAAAATTATTATTGAGAGCTTCCTCAATTTCATAACAGGCAGATTTCTACGCATAACCTTTATTCTATTATTTAACAGTTCTGTTCATTTAAACTTTATAAAAATTAACTTGAAATTATTTCTAAATTCTTCCAAATTATTGAGATTTTTTTTTTGTTATATAACATTTATGTAACTTCAGAAAACTGGGGTAGTACGGCAACCTTTGATCATATCACATATTGAGATAATTGTATTTTTTTTTAGCTATAAATTAAATATAATTAAATTGAACTTAAAACCAGGAAGCTGATATAAGTACCACATATAATGAGACCAAAAATTTGTTTTGTTTTATAATATAATTCTTTTTTTTTATTAAATTTTTCAAATCCAACTTTTTTGTTCTTGTTATGCATAATTTTCTTATTCCCCTTCATTTTTCTCGTATACACTCTGCACAATTACACAAACACACTTACAAAAAAACAAAAACGAACCCAAAGAAAAACAGAAACTTGATTTTTTTTTTTTGAAACTGTTGAACCATACTTTGTTTATTACTTTGCATTCTTAAATACAAAAAAAGATAAATTTTCATTTAATTAAAAATAAATAAGAGAGAGAAAAACAGAAAAATTGTGTTCGCTTAAAACTAAGTCACAACATGGTATCTGGAATTGCGCATAACAATAACAATAATACTTTAATAATAAATAAAAGGTGATAATGTGTTTAAAAGTACCTTCAAAACACAAAAGAGAGAAAACTAACAATAAAAAGAATATTAAAATTCACTGATGTAAAGATAGAAAAATAATTAGATTGATCGTGTGTATGTTTGTGCATTGATATGGAAAATACAATATTACGAGTATGAGCAACAAAACATTAAATTAGAGAAATAAAATTGAGCACATTCTCGTCGCTCCATAATACTCGTATGTTAAAAACATAAAGAATAACACTCTTTTTAATACTTACTGCAAATTTTAATTGAGTTTTTTTTCCTTGTTTTTTTTTTTGTGTTATATTGTTGAATGAGAATTTATTGAATGAGAAATAATTCCAGTTTGCCTTTTTTATATTGTGAATTGCGACAATATTATCATTGTTAAAAATTGTTACTGCTATTGCATACAAAATGAATATTGTTAATTGAATTCGTGTACGATTTTTATATCTAAACGTAGAATTAACGTAGAAAATAAATAGGTTATTTTTGAGATTTTAAGGATTCGATTACAAATAAAATGCAACTGAATAAAAATATATTAATCAAATAGTATAATAGAAAATTTCAGGAATTTTATGTGTGGATGTAAGTATGCAGATTTTGTGAATTCGCATTATACATTCGCATTAGTGTTTTAATTCGATTGTTATACCTTTATTTATAAGAATCACAGCATTTTTGGGATTAAACTTTATTCACAACCGCATTGGATAATCAAATGGTATTGCTTTCACACAAATATTTTTGTGCTTATATCATATAAGTGCTTAAAACTTGCTGCAGTATCTATGTCATGTCCAATAACCATGGAGTAAATGAAAGGGTAAATAATTATCCATTATAATTTCTAACTATTATCCAGAAATTATAATTGCAATACATTCGGATATGTGCTGTTCACATTTATTTTTTCTAAAGTTATTGTCATGGCAAAAACAAAATATTTTTTTTTGGTAATAAATTAGTGTTAATCAATATTAATGTGTATGATATATGAGAATTGTATATGCACAAATAAATAAATCATGTTAAGCATATACATAATTAACATATTTTTAAGAAACTGTAACGTTATATTCGTCAAGTATTGGAATTTAGAAATTTATTGTTTTAAATGCTGCAACACTGTTTTTGGCGAGGATTAATATTTGGTTAGAATTAAAATATTAAAGAGAGTGAAACTTATTTTTAAAACAAATTGTGTGAATTTATAAAAAACAAGTTTCCACAACACAAAAGTTTTGATTAGTGGCATAATTGCATAATTGCATAATTACGAAATACATATTCAAATTGCCTATGTAATATTGTTATTTTGTTTTTTTATGTTTAGAATATTCATAAAATTTCCTTTTCCAAATGTAAGTAGGGAAATGATAAAGATTCACATTTTTCAGCAACATTTAATAAAAAAGATGTTTATTTTCCCTGCACAGTTAACATTATTTTTGTATTTTCTAAAAAAACTGGGATATTTTTTTTCCCATGTAAACAAAATGTTGATTTAAATTCTAAAAAGTTTATTATCATATCATAAAACAAATGTTTATAAACAAAAACAATGCTATCAATAATTTTTTTTTTATTCGAAAGAAAAGCATTGGGAAATTTTTAAACCTGATAAGAAATTCAGGAAATTTTTTTACATTTATCGGAAATTTTGCAGTTCTTTGAATCATCCAAAAAGGATATTATGACTTTTCATTGGAATATTATTTCTAACAATATTGTAGCAAAGATTGTGAAGCAGCTCTTAATTGCAACATTATTTCGAAACAATTTGTAAAATTGCATTTTTATTGATAGTGTTTCAAAGTCAATGTTGTTCAACAAAATGAGAAAAAAAATAAAATAGTAAGAAAAAATGTGACTTTGTTAAAAAATATTTTTTAATTAGAAAAAATTTCTTTGTCACATATTCTAGCATGTCAAATACAGAGGGTATTTTAGGAAATTATAAGGAACAATTCAAGTTTTTTTTGCAAGTTCCAAAAACCGTACCAGATCCGCTAAATCTCTGTATGTATACGAGTATATATAAGATTCGTTAGATTTTACAACAATACTTGGATATGATTACTAAGATTTATTAAACTTATAATATGATATTTACTTGCATGTAGGTCCTTACACAATATAACCAAGTTTATAATAAGAATAAGGATAATTAAAAGCTGGATGATTATTTTACATTAAACTTTTTCCTATTTTCAAATTTTTGATTATTATTTCCAAAATTCAAAACTATGAAATTTACTTAAATACTTTGACTAATTAAATTTTTTATTCTTTTTTTTCTAGGTAAGTAGCACGTGCTAATAATTGTTCAGGATAATTTAAAAGAAAATTCTTAGTGCAATGCGAATAATTATGTGGAAAAAAAAATCATGTGCAAATGGTTCAGTGGATTCCAATCTGAAAATGATTTCATTGTCGGCAAAATAATAAAAGAAATTATTTAAAAAAAAAATAATTTGATAATAATGAAATATTTATTAAAAATAAGATTTTTGAAAGCAAACAAATAAATGAATAAATAAATTAAGGAATCAAAAAATTTAAAGTTTAAAAAATTAAAAATAAAAATTAAAACACAATGATGAAAAATTAATTATTGCATTCAATATTAAGTAAAAATTGAATTTTAAAAGTGAAAATTATGATAATAATATAAAATATTGAATTAAAAATAATTACAATTATAAAAGTTAAACAAATTATTGTATAAATGTGTCATCAAAAATGGTAAAGGAAGTGTGGAAATGGTAACTTTTATTTGAAATTAAATTCTTAAATATTTAAAATATGGAGTTGAAGAACTAAAATTGAATCATTATTTCTATAATATCATAAGCTATTTTAATTTTAAGATTTTAAAATGAATTTTAATTTTAAGTAATTTCTTAGCATTATAATGATTTCTGTATATTAAAATATTTCCGTATACTCGTACATATTTCGAATTCTAATTCATAACATCTATAAATTTTAAATAGTCATATGATGACAATAAAAAAAATTTTATATGAAATTTATTTGAGGATTGCCTAAGCATGAAGATAATCTGAAACTAACCTAAATTATGTTGGTCGATAAAAGTATCGTATAGGTTACCAATAACAACCATAACTTTTATCAATGTCGAAAATTTTTTGTTTCAAAATAGTGAATGAAAAGCTAAATTCGTATACATATAATTTAAGCGTTGCAACCGCTCACTTATAAAATACAATTATGCTAATCAGTTAATAGCGACTCTATGGTCAAATTCTTTTATATAAAATAATAGACCTATACAGCATTTAACAGTTTCGGTTACATAATTAAATTCATTTTTAAAATCTAATTGTGAATTACTTCTCCAACTGTTCAACTTTGTGCAAATTAAATTAGTAAAAATAATTTTATCTGTTTTTTTATTTATCACAAGAGCACACCCTAGAATATTCCTAAATTGACTCAAAGTTAAGGTAAACAAAATATTAATATAGGTAGCAAATATATAATTTTATGTTTAAGTCTCAGCTTTTCTTAGTGAAACTCGCAAATTACGTATAAATACTTTTCCAATTATGTTACTTAACTTCCATGTGCATTGCCAATCTCGTCTTCTATTAAGTTTCTAGCTATAAGGCTGATTAGAGTCGATGAAAATATATGACATTTAATAATATTTTATCCGAGCAGCTCGATTTTCGTCAAAATGTTAGTTAACCAACCCTTTTGTCCACTTACCTCTTCAATTTTAAAAAAATTATTTTTAGTCCTAAAATAAATAATACTTCAAATTATCCATCACTTCATTTACTAAATATTGTAATATAAAAAGAAATTGTACCAAAATAATTTAATGTATAAACAAACTGCTTGATTTTTTCAGTATGATACTGTTATGTACTGTTTTGTACACAGTTATACAAAATGATTGATTCAAATAACATTCCAACAATTCCGAAAAATTTTTTTAATAAAAATTACAAGCTTTAACAAAAGATAACAGACTCATTGCCTGATAGCATGTTAAATGTTCAAAAAATGTAAATTCATAACAGGTAATTTTAATGTTATTATTTGAACATTTTATTCCATAATCATGAGTCATGAGATTCGTCATGAGAAAAAAGGAATATACTACACTTAGGCCTAACAGAGGTGTAGTATATTCGAAAAAAGTTCACCAATTTAAAATTACATTTTCCTGTTATTCTTCAATATAATAATGGATCTTGATGTATAAAATAATAAAATATTTCTGTTAACTATAAGAGCTTATTACTGTTGCAACACCAAATAACAGATTAATATACATAAAACATTAATATTCTCTTCCCCTATTATTAATTAAATTGGTGTATTATTTTTTAAAAATTGGTGAGCATTTTGAGTTGAGAAAACTGCTTATATATTTTTTTAAAGTTGTTAAATGAGAATAAATATTTGTATGTGCATTCAACGTTTGTGTAAATGTAAGTGACGAATCGATGATGATAAGTGTTAAGGAAGTTAAAAAATTTTAATATCGTGGAAGCGTATAATACAAACACCATTATAACACCAACTTGTAAGCATATCGATAAAATCAAAATAAAAAAAAAAACGAAAAAATGTTTCTCCTCCACTTTACTTCATCGTTAGCAAAACTATAACTTCACATATTAAAGGAAAAACAATAATACCAAAATTACCAATATGTTACCATCTTACCAAATATGAGTTTGGAATTGTTTTGATTATTCTCTTTTGTTGCATTTAAACTTGATTGATATTGATTGATGAATAAAATATAATTTTATGTTTATCTCTTCAATGAACAATAATAAAAATGTTCACCAATAAAAATTTACACTTAAAAAGTCAAGATAACGTGAGATAAACAAAAGTTGGATAACAAAATCAGTGCGAAAAAAGTATGGGAAACCATGAATTTTTAATGAATTTTTATTTGTTACTCTTTTGCTTTTATAGCTGTGGTGAATGATGCTATGAAATTTCGCTTACAAAATATGTTTTTCACAATATTCAAAAACTTCATCAATAAATTGTTGATTTTCTGTTTTTTTTTTTACCTCTCATAAAGTCATAAATTTAGTTTTGGTCTTAAAGCATCCCAATTCCAACAGTACATTCTATCTTTAGACACGCATACACAATTATACACATATATTTAGAGTGTAGATATTTTTTAGTTTTTTGTATACAATAGCGAAGTAAACCTGCTCGTATATGTTTTAAGTCGTTAAAGAACAAATTTTTTTAACCTGTCCATTTTTTATGGTTATTCTTAATTGTAGTAAATTTATTTTAACTCTCTTTCAGTATATACGAGTTCACCTTACCTCGAATATTAAATTGAATAAATGTATGTACCTTGTTTAGCTGAGATTTAATCCAAGATAAGGAAGACCATTTTTTTTTTGTTTTTGTTTTATGACCATTATTTTCAGCAATGCATTTTTTCTTGTATACCAACGTATTCAGTGTGATTATATTTTGGTACTAGCTAGCTTTATTCTACTTAAATATTGTACAGAAAATCTTCTTTATCTTCTTTATCTTTGTGCTTGTTTTTAGTTTTCGATTTTTGATTAAGAATTTAAGAAATATAATCGAAAATATATATAAGGATCGATTGAGAATATATCATAAGTTTTTGATATTTTTTAAATCACGTCTCATACAAATAAATTATTAAAAGAAGTTCAGCCAGAAGATTTAGAGAGGCTACTGCTCTTATATAAGAAGCATTAAGATGAAGTAGTTTTTTTTTTTATTTTCAATAATTTGACGCTCATTACTAAGAAAATGCATATTTGCATTAAAATTCAGGAAATTTTTTTTTACAGATATTTTATTGATTCACTTTTTTCACAATCAATTTTGTAAAATTTTATAGCTGTCGTGTCATGGATAATTTGGTGTTAAAAATTAATTTATGAATTTCTTCAGGATTTCGTTAAAGTTGTATTGTTTGCCTTTTCACAAAGTTTTGGTATTTTTCGAAATTTTGATATTTAACATGCAAAGAATTTAATTTTTATTAATTCTTTTGAATTCCTATAAGAGAAAATTCCCTAAATTGCAAATAATGGTATCGGGCGGAATTTTTTATTTTTTATATTCACTTAAAATAATAATGAAGACTTAGAAATTACCTATCTTAGAACAATATCAAAAAAATTCAAAATTGCTAAAAGTTATAATCTGTTTTACAAAGGCAAAATTAACTAAGCTATCGTAATATAAAATGAAATTATTAATATTTTTGAATTCTTCACATTTAGAGCTATAATTCAGGAAAATTGATAATTATTATTCCCATTATTTTAACATTTAATTAAGGTATTATATTTTTGAATTAATAAACCCTTGCATTATAGTCCCTTATAAGACACTTATATAGTAAATACTACGTCATTAGGAAATAAAAAGACAAAAATCAATAAAATTATTTTATTTAAATGCATTCATGTATTGTTTTCCGAAAAGTATGAACACAACGGCCCGTATTTTCCGACAACTATTATTATTAATGTTATTCAACGGGCCTTAATCCCGTATCATTATAATATTTTTAAACATTGGAGAAGAAAAAACTGTCATATATTGTGAAAGTTAAAGGTAAATTCGATAAAAGATTAGTAAATTTCGAGGAATTGTTTGTCCTACATCATTTAAAGCTAGTAAATCACTTAAATATCAAACAGGTCGTATGATTTCCCACAATGAACTCAGTATAAACTCTTGAATGAAGTGAAGAAATTAGTAAAATGCGATGATACTCTTACCAAAAACAATATTTGAATTTTAATAATATTGTGCAAGTAAATAAGTATTATTGACTTTTTTACAAAAAAATTTCTAAAAATTTATTTTTCAAGTTTTTTTAATTAAATTATAGATCTTAAACGAGAAAACACAAAGTTCTTATTTAAAGTTAAAGTAGATACTAACAAAATTTTACAATTGAGAAAATATGTTTTGTGGTTAATTTATAAAATAAAGAGAAATCAAAGGATACTTTATTAAGGATTTTTAACAAAAACATAAAAGAAAAAAATTAAAAGACACAAATTGCGGGCAGACAGAGAGTTTTAATAAAATTTTGAAACTATATATGTACTTGCTTTTGTATACATTATTTTTATGTAATACATACACGTATATAAAATAAGGGAAAGAACAGCAACAGTAATTCAGTTTATAAGAAGGTAAAGGCTTATAAGAAAAATAAAAACCAAAAAATACAGAGAAAATTTTAACTTTTAGCCCTTCATTTCTTTGAATTTTACACAATAATTTTTGACATGAGTTTGTGTTGTGGGGGGAGGCTTGCCAAATACTAAATATTCGGATATTTTTAGAATATATTTAAATGAATTTCGACCCTTCTCAGGTTTTCTTTGAAATAAAAGTTTGTGCAATCTTTTCTTTTTAATTTATTTGAAAACTATGTATAACACTATTATAAGATTTAAGAACGAAAACACCAATTCAAAATTTATAATAAAATTTATATTTGAAATAAGAAAAATATTTTTGAAAGAAATTCAAGAGAAATGCGTGGAAATTCA